TGAGATGAGTCAAATTCTTTCTAATAAGAATTTTGATAACGCTTTATCTTTTGATTTGCGTAACAACGATTATCTTAGCTCTATTGTACTGTCTCTAATACCAGTGTGTATTCTTCAATATTCATATCAAGTGAACTGTTTCTTTTTAACTATGTTGGTAAACTAAAAGTATCTGGTGTCGCTGTTAAGATAAAAACCTACAGCAGAATAGTAACAGTAATCGTAATATTAGCCAGAAATTCCCGGTGAGGCCGTTGCGTTCACTTAAATGCCCTTGGAAAAAAATTATTGACCGAGGAGCCAGTATTGCCTGAGGTTGAAATTTATGAAATCTTTCTATTAAATTAAGTTTTTAAGAAAACAGGTTTCTAATATTGAGTAGCTGTTATCGCTCTTTCCATTAGTGAGAGGAACTTACTTCGTAACCTTTTATCTGAAGTGATGTGGAACGTTGACATCCTGATTATGTCATTGTGCTATCCACTTAAGTTGTTACCGCTCTTGGTAGTCGTCAAATGATGTGGTTTCTGTTATTTGGTGCAGCTCTTTGCTCGTGAATCTGTAGATCCACTCCACAATGTTCAAATAAGTATTTATATTTGTCAACGCACTCAGGATTAATTTATTAAACACACCCGAAAACACTTTTATAATAGAAAAAATATTTTTTCAGATACTTTGTATTAAAAATCCGTTCAGAAATTGAATCTAATTATTATATCTCTTATTCTCTCTCCCCTCTCTATCACAATATATATATATATATATATATATATATATATATATATATATATATATATATATATATATACAATTTTGCTACTCAGAGTTTCATGCAATGGAAGTATTCAGAGTTTTGCCTGATGATTGCCATCGCATGAAACTCTAGAAATAGCGAATTTGGTATTATTTTTATATTTAAACTCTATTGATTTTGGCATTGACCCTCAATTTATTCTATACTTTAAGCTTTTAGCTTATTTTAAACTTTAGCTTTTATTCTTTATATATATATATATATATATATATATGTGTGTGTGTGTGTGTGTGTGTGTGTGTGTGTGTGTGTGTCTGTGTCTCTGCATATGTGTGTTTGTCTTTCTGAATATGTCCGTCTGCTAGTATGTCTAGTTGATCTCTATTTCAAGCAGATTTTGTATTTCTTCAAAATCTCCAGTGCTAACCTAGAGTTTATACTGAAATTATGCTGAACTGACTATAGTTACAGTTTTTGAGGAAGAGCACCAAATTTGGCGCCGTCAGGAGTTGATCAACGCCAGTAGGCTACAAACCCGCGGCTCGACGGCTTTGCCCACCGGGAAACGCAACCATCGACGTCTTCCCAAGTGTTTCATCACAGTTTCACTCACAAGGTTTCCAAATGTTTAGAAAACATATCTCCTGTGACAAAGCTTAAATGCAAATCCAAGACCAAATCCAGGGCCTTTTCCATCCATTTGGGGGAATCCTTCCTTGCTTGACCATCTTTTCAGAGGTGTAGGCATACTCACCACACTTGGCCTTCCTTGCTTGACCATGTCTTCAGAAGTGTAGGCATAATCACCACGCTTGGCCAATTGCAGGTGGGTGAGGCTATTTAAAAATACTTGGAGGTTTCGAGTTCAGAGTTGTCTTTTTTCTTGATCAGTTGCCATTTAAGACTATAGGAACAAGTCTGCCCTGCTATTTTCCCATAGCTGGGGGGACAGATGAATTCATACGAAGAGTATTTGGGCGTAAGTGAATGTAACGACTGGTATTTGAATTCGGCTCTCTGAATCACAAATTCGAACCGCTATCCATTACTCCATCGCCCCTCCATCAAAGTTTAAAATGATCCGGAATATGAAGTAATTTTCAAAAATAGCCAATGATGATTGAATAGAATATAAACTGCTTTCGAGATTTTCTTTAATGACTGCATGTAGCATAGTAATAAGTTTGCTTCATAGAATGGAATATTGACACAGTGCATAAAATTTCAAAATATTTTGCTTGGCTAATTTCCACTTTTTATTCTCTTATTTGGCATGAATCCAATATTACAAATAATTCTCTCCAACCAGACTCTAGTCGTTTTTATCGAAATAAATCTGGAAATCAATTCATTAGGCAAATAAAATAGAAAAAGATCTCATTTCAACAGATTTTAGGTATTTATTTCGAAACGTTTACATTAATGTATATGTGCATGTGTAGCGTAAATCAGTCGGTCAGTGGCGACAAAAAGAACTGAAGAGCCCTAAAATTTGCTGTTAATACTTTCAGAGAGTCCCTATATTTATTTTATTGTTGAAGACGAATGCAAAGTACACTTTGTATATTTAATCATTTTAACGCAGTCAACTTCCGCTCATATTTGTTTGCATTTATGCGCGATTTTAATTTAATAAAAATTTCATAAAAGAACAATATGGCTTCTGGGATTGTGGTTACAGGCAGCGACAAAAGCGGACCAAAAGCTTCTTTAAAATAAATTCACAACAAACAAGGCAATAAAGCCACTAAGATGCAAGTTACTGAATATGAGAAAAATATAACATTATTAAAGAAAACATTAGAAAAAACAGAAATTAATAACATATAAGATAACGATTAATATTGCATGTAATTTTTTTAAGATGAAAGTTAACTGGAAAGTAAGAAATCAGAAGTGAGTTTCACAAAAAAGAAATGCGAGAGAAGAAACTGTTAGCATAGAACTTACGGTTATATTTAGACATTTAAATTAAAAATTTGTTGCCAATCTAATATTGCATTTAAATCCATAAAGTCTACGTATCATAGTGGAAAGTTCATAAGAACAATTACCATTAAAATATTTATAGAAAAGGCACAGGGAGGCTACGTTACGGCCGTAGGAAGATGAATGAAGACAAGATGCCAGGTCAGGACCAATAACGTTGCAAATTCATCTTTCTATTCTATCAAGAATCTCTAAATACATGTTAGAAATATCAGAACGGCAATATCCAAAGCATGTATGAACGGTAGACTTATAAATAACTAAGATCCTAGCGAGAAATACAGGTACCCCTCGATTAATGCGTTTTCGATTACTGCGATAAAATTGTTATATACCAAAATTCGATACATAATACTCGATTAGTACGGTAAAACATTCTTCAGTTTAACCTTAGTAATTGAAAATTATTATTTTTTATAGTTACCGATGTGCATATTAGCCGTACTAATTGAGGGATTCCTGTCTAGCAATGAAACAACTTTCCTAGCAGCAGACATAGCAATTGATTTAATAAAAGTTAACCTGAGAAGGATCAATGGATTGCAAAAAGCATTATAATATAATTTCATGCATCCAGTGTTAATCTTGTTTACTAATTTGTATTTTAAACAGTCACATTATATAATTATATCAAAACCTAACTCTGCCGAACCAACTGACATTTTATCAAAATCGCTAAGTTTACTTGGTTTGTTCTTTGTTCAAGACTTCTTTAAGCAAACAAAATGGTATTTCATTTGAAATTGAAAAAATATTCCCCGAAGATACGTTTTCTATACTACTTCTGCATAGATTTCTAAATACCTTCTAAACAATACAGATTTTTTTTTTTTCAGTAACAAGTTTCATGTATTATTTTCCACATAGCCTCTGGAAGCAAGTACACATTCTTTTACTCTACATTGTGATGGATGATGAAGATACAGTGTCTATATATTATTTGCAGGCAATTGAAGTATACAATTATTAACAAATAAAACGTTGAAAATAACCACAGTAATATCTGCCCTAAGTGCATAGAACAATTGCTGGTTTCTAAAAATAGTGCAAAGTGAAGCTATTTTGTATAGTTATATTGTATAATTCTCCATCTGCAACTTCGAATTCAGTTTCAGTTGCTACTGTTATTTTAGAAATACAAGTTATTTTGATTGGTTGAAATGTGCTATTGAATTTTTATTTGAAATTAAACTTACCCGATCGTCACCAGCTTGTAATTAAATTAAAAGAAAATATTTCTCTATAACCAAGTGTTTTCCTAAACCCATTGGTATTATTTCACACATCTCTAGAACTCATACGCAAAGAAAGTGAAAAAGTCACTGTCTAGCAATTTCTTTCTTTCAGAAACATCACTTCCATGAAATTTACATCATATATATATATATATATATATATATGTGTGTGTGTGTGTGTGTGTGTGTGTGTGTGTGTGTGTGTGTGTGTGTGTGATCATTGGATCAAAAATTACAAAATTCATCCCTTTCTTTACAAACACACACACACACACACACACACACATATATATATGAAATTGAAGTCAACGCCCAGTCTGTTTCATGCTAAAGCAGAAACTTGACGATTGTTTTAAAGCATGTAACATGCTGTCGCCGGTGGGTGCTGACGTCAATGCCCACTTGTATATTTACATGGACTCTATCTTTGATATTGACCACTTCCATCCATAAATATAGCATACATTAAAACTATATTTTATTCATATATATATATATATATATATATATATATATATATATATATATATATATATATATATATATATATATATATATATCGAATGTAATGAGAACGAAAATAATATATAAATTGTAACGTTCACAGCATTAATTCAAAAGAGGGTTCAATACCGATAGTAGAACAATAATTATTTATTATAACTTCTTCATATAGACAAAAACAAATTAACTCACTACAAAGATGCAACTTCATTTCGGTGCATTTAGTTTCGATTTGGTTCTCATGTGTCGAGGTGCAATTAAATGCACCGAAACGAGGCTGCATACTTACAGTGAGAAAATTGCTTTTTGAAAAAATTATAATAAATAAATAAATATATATGTGTGCGTGTGTGTGTTTGGCTATGTTAGTGTGTCGTATTTCTGCTTTGTTGTCTTTGATGTGATTATTACCGCTTCTTGTAACAAGTAGCAGTTTACATTAGACATACACACGCTCGCACAGACACACATAATACATAAACAAATAGAGAAACACACTTCATTCTAATATCACTTTGAAACATGAGTTCCCATACGATCATCGAAGTTAAACACCGTCGAGCCTGGTCAGTAACTAGACGGGTGGCCGCTTGAGAATACCAGGTGCTGTAAGCTTTGATGAGAATGTGGTATAATGGATAACGGATAATGGCTCAGAATTGTTAATCGGAGACCCGCGTTCCAATTTCAGTTGTGTTTATTATATTCACTTACGCCCCATACCTCTTCTTCGCTCCAAAAAAATTTTTACAATGCAAATATATATTCTGACTTATATAATCTGCAAAGCGCTGATAGGCTGTAGAAAACAAAACAATGAAATCAGAAAAAAACACCACCATACACCAAAGTCACTCGAAAAAAAATTGTTGACATTCTATGTCTGTAAATTTGATATTAAATAGTTCGTGTAGATCGTGAGAAGATCCATGAGAAAACGGATGGTTCTTCCTTTTTTTCTCCATTTTCCACTTTAAATAATTCTTGAAGTCGGCGTCTGGCGTCTGTGCGATTATTCATGAAGTCATGCACATGACAACATATAAACAAAAACGATTGTTAAGATGTTGAATATATTTAATGTCCTTGAAGATTTAATTGTGAATGTCTTGACTTTATGGGTGTGTGGATGGTGTAATGAGAAATAGGAGATCCGAGATCAAATTCCTGTCGAGTTTATTACATTCACTTAACCGGAAATATTCTTGGAAAAGCTATAAATTCATCTGCTCCCCCAGTTATGTGTTAAATAGTATCTGAAAAATCATTGTTCTACACAAAAAAAAATTGTTAATACAATATCCATTTGTCGTATAAAGAATTATTATTAGAACCCAAAATATTCTTCGGCTTTAAAAAACCAACAATGGTAGAAAAATCGTAAAAAAATCAATCAACTTTGATTTTATGATAAGCATTTTAAGAATTTTAATTTTTTTTTACAATTAATATTTATCTGATACGCCTATTTTACATAACCATGTACAGATTTAAAAAAAAAATCGTGTAGCGCAATTTGGACGTGGCATAAGGTCGAATGTAATGGCAATTCAGTAAGAATCAAAATTGCTACTTAGTCGTAATTGATTTAGGGAGACAAGCGTGCTAACACGTCAATATTATTGACTGGCCACATACATATCTTACCGATGTGAATGGGTATGTGCGTGCCTCTTTGTGTGTGTGTGTGTGTGTGTGTGTGTGTGTGTGTGTGTGCATGTTCAGTTCTTGTATTCCTTTTGGATTATTTTAAATAATGGTTAAAATTCATTTCGGATTCCATCAACATTTAAAATAACATAATTAGTTACAGCCTTCATATCCTGAAATACGATATTCTTCTGTCTTTTCGAATGAAAAAAAAAATAAATAAATAAACGCATCTGTTGTGTCGTCTTTACCAATTCCGAGACTTTGAAATAGTTTCTTCAGTTCCCGAAAAATTTCGGTAATTTCAAATGCAAGTCGAATTGATATCTGAAGATTTTCCTAATTACAAATTAGATGCTTTTTGCAGAACATTTAAGATTTCTTTGTCTTTAAATTTTCATATTACCTTGTTTGAAGTATTTCTCCACTACAACTAGAAAACTTAAACTTATTTATAAAGGATTATTAAAATATGATATTCAGTTTTGTCGTGAATAACGCATTAAAACAATTTCTAATAAGTTAGTTATTTACATTATTCGGAATATTGTCCTCATCTTTGTCGCCATATTTATTAAAACGTTTCGGCCGTTGTACGCTCCGGCCTTCTTCAGGTGGTTGGAATGTCGAACTGAACCCTTTATTTCGCTCACTGGGGTAGAATGTTCTAGTTCCATGTTTGATGGATGTCAGTTATCTCCTGTTAATTCCACTCTGAAAGTTCTCCACTGCCTTAACCGGGTATTGAACTCACACTCTTTGGGTCCTGTCACTGGATCTAACCAACTCCTTTATCCACTGTGTCATGTGTCCTCAAGGACACATGGCACAGTTCCGACTTAATTCACAAGAGATGGTCACATTAAATTCATGCCGTTTATACTCCGATGAAAATCAGAAATTTTGGTGTTTGTTCTTAGCATTGCTAAATAAATGACGTACTCTTTATTTCAGAGTATGCCCGTCATCGAACGAGGCGAGATAGTTACAGGCGTTTTCTCCGGCAGATTTGTTTTTCTTCAACACTCACACATCCCACCTGTGGTTTATACTGCAACTATGCTAAGCGGACATTAATTACAGGATTCTGGAAACATCTCGCATAATCTGATGTGATCAGCAGTTTGAGAACCACCCCGCCACTCCTTCCCTAGAGCTAACCCAGAATGCTTTTGGTTGTATTTTATTTGCGGTTGTATGTAACGTTGTGGCGACTTTAATATAACGTTGCAGTCAATCATTTTCCTGACTCAAAACTGACCGCTCATCGCCAACGTTGTCTAATTCAAACATCTTTTTGTAATTTAGTATCTATCTTCTGTTTAATGTAACATTACAAGGTGGATGTGCGTTGTGGTGTAATGGATATCTGCTCGGAATGTGATATCGGAGAGCTGAGTTCGAATTCCAGTCAGGTCCGTTACATTCATTTAGGCGCAAATACCACTGGAAATGGTATGATTCCATATCTTCTTTCCCCAGGACAGACTGTTCTGTAGCTTCGGTTGGCAACCAGTCTAGCACAGAAGTAAATGGAAACCTATTACATGAAAATCTTCTGCTTAGCCAGTCATGACCAGAAAGAGACAGCGTTTATCACGTATGGAAATAAACTGACTGAACGTTGCAAGGCAAAGTATTTGCAGTGTTAGAAAATAACGGTGTGTTTACGTTTGGGGAATTTATAAACAAAATTTTCGCAAACTCTGTGCAAAGTTGCAACAATTTAATTTTGTTAGCCTCGGTCATGCTGACTGTTGAATTCGTGCCATCGACGAATTCCACACAATTCCGTCTGACTCATTTACAACAGTTGCAATCTCCTCAAACTCACGCTTTTTAAACACTTCCCAACGATTCCGCACACTGAGATCCTATCCGTAAGCCGATATTAACAAGAAGTCACCTCCTTGCTAGTTCCACCATTCAAACCTGACCTGAACCTGTTCGAACCTGACCTCATGGGCGGAACACATTTTTTTTTTTTTTATCTTTCACCCACGCGCCTACACTTAATAATAATTATCTTGACAAATATCAACATTTAATCAGTAAATGGAAACTTGAGTTTGATTTTTAAACCGTTTCATATTTTTTGAGTTTTGTTTCGATTAAACTTTTTCTGTGGATTTCTTTTTAATTTTCCGAATTATCTGATTGACACAAATAATCCGTACCTTTTTTTAAATAATCTGTAACTTTTTTTTTAAATCCATTCATCAATTCAGAAGAAAACGCTTAATATTTTCCCAGAAACTCAAAAGCAACAATAAAAAAAACTATCTGCTAATGTTTTAGTCTTTTCTGTGAAGATCATAATCTAATCAAAGATAAACGATATTTGTTTTCAAGCTTACATCTCTTTTCTTTTCTCCTTCCCAAAGACTTTCCAGAACAAAAGTCAATTCTAATCAGATTCTGTTTACGTCTTATCAAAGAAATCACATCGGAATCAGCATGACATATTCATTTCTTGGTGTGCTCTCATCAAATGTTTCATATTCTGGTTTGTCTCTTTTGATCCAGTCTGATCCGACTTCATCATCCTGATGCCATTTCATCTAATATACCTTAATCCAGGACAACTCATCATCAGACGACATCTTAACATCAAGCCAATGATTCCTATCTTCGGTGTAATTGTTCGTCAAAATTCCTTTCATTTTGCTATTTTACATTGTCCGATACAATGACATCGCAATTTAAATCCAGGCTTACTTACTAAAAGACTCTCTTTCCCTTACTCTCTCCATCTTTCCCTTTCCTTCGCTCTCTCTCCCTCTCCCCCTCACTCTATCTCTATCTCTCGCTTTCTTTTCTTTGTTTATCTTTCTATATTCGTTATATCTAAGCTCAAATCTTAAAGCAAATATTCCCGGTGACTTTTATCATCTCTGGTATTGAGGTTAACACTCTTCATACATATAGATTTATCTAATTACTTATCTCTTTCACAAATTTATTCTCTGTGAGAGGTTGTACGCTTGGCTAGTTGCATTTGTTTTCGTCCAAATACTCTTGAGAATGTATCAATTCATTTGTAAATCTAGTATTCGTCTGTACAATGAATATTATCGCCATGTCTGGTTTGGAGGCAGGCTATGTATCTCGGTATTCTTGACAAAATCCAAAGAAGGATCTGTAATTGTATCTATCTTTCTACAAGAGTTATTATATATCATTAATTTTTCCCAAATGTTTTTTGACTCTAACTTTTCGACATCAAACATTAAGAAAGCTAACAACTGGAGATGATATCTACGATATGCAAATTTCTTAAAGTGGCCAGCCTACTTTCTTTCCGTACAATGAACAAATCCGCTAAGAAAATAGAAGTATTTCAGGCCGCCTGGATTTATTATTGTTAATCTTGCACTTCATCGGATTGTATGTTAGATTGTACTGAGCTGGGTGATGGAATTGCGTTATTACATGTCATATTCATACTGTTGTCTGACAAAATGATAAAATATGATATCTGCAATTGATTCAACCATCGGCCATAGCGTTTCTCAAAGCTTGCACTAAGCAAATATGTTGATACAGGAATTTTTTAAAGATGACGACATTAAAGTTATTTAATTTTTTTCAGCTTATTGACTTTTTTTCCTTTCAAGTCGTATAAACTGTTTATCTCTCCTTTAATGATACAGTTAAGATATCAAGATAGATAAGTCATCTTTTACATTTTCAATCGGTTTAAGTTTACAACAGAAATTTCTTTCGATCTTTGATATGTCCTTTAAGCGTTTAGAAAATATCTTGTTTAGGATAAATATAAATTTCCGCAAAGAAAAATCGTTCCATGAAGGGATTGATTTTTTTAATCTACTGTTTTTTGGAAGTAATTTTTTCTTTCAAAGAATCATCTGTGGAGAAATTATTTACTCGCATTAAGTGACAAAATATTGGCGTTTAATTAATTCACTCAATCTCATTATGTCAACAACATGTAAAATAATTTAGATTGGCGTCCTTTTGAATTACATATGATAAATAACATCAGGATTATGGCAATCTCCATTCACCACCTGATCTAAACGGAGAATTTCGTGCCTGTAAAAGTGTGGTCTTATAAATTCTAAAACAATCCGATTCGAACGAGGATTACGATTACATTACGTTGAAACACCCGTTCCCGTACGATCACCGAAGTTAAGCAACGTCGAGTCTGGTCTCTTCCTATATAGGTGACCGCTTGGAAATACAAGGCGTTGTAAACTTGGATGTGCGGGTGGTGTAATGGATAATGGCTCGGAATTGTTAATCGGAGAACGGAGTTCCAATTCCAGTCGGGTTCGTTATATTCACTTACGGGCAGATACCTTTGAGAAAAGGTATGAATTGTATCAGTAAAACATTTATCTTCAAAACTAAAAGCAACCAGAGATTCGATAGAATATTAACGCATTAATCAAAAACAATATCGTAGAAAGGCTTTTGTTCTAAAATGGCCATAACACACGTATATGGGATTATTCACAATTATATTGCAGTTCCCTCGGATTTTCCCTTTTGGGGTGTATGAGATATTGAACTTGATACTCCTTCTTTTAATGCCAAAGGGGAGGTAACGTTTACAGATAACCCCTCCCCCACCATCGAACAGGACTTTTTCTACGTTTTAAATTTCAGATCCCATAAAATGCTGAGGAACGATGAAAATAAATTGATATGATCAATTATGAAATAAATCATAATGGATATGACTCATCCCTTATAGTCTATCATTATGCAATTATTAACTGAAAAGCTAAAAATCTTATCTGGCAGCGTTGTTTTTTCCCTACGTTTTCTCTTTATATCTTTATTATTTATTCAGTTTTAATTTGCCTAAATTTTAAATGCTTATATTATATATATATAAATTAAAATGGTTAAAGTAGTTGGCGAAAGCTTTTAGGACAATGAAAATTATGGAAAATTTCTGTATTCTCTTACTTCCACAAACGGAAAACCTTAGGAATGCTGCAAAAAATGTGTAAAAAAATTAATTAAATCTTCCTTGTCTGCCATATTTAATGAAAGATGTTTAAAAGAAAGGTTTCTTTCCAAATATGTATATATATATATATATATATATATATATATATATATATATATATATATATATTTCATCCTAATACCCAGATAAGCCAAATGTTTTTTTAATTAACATTTTATTTCACCTCGCATTGTTTATAACTATCATAAAAACAATTAATAATTTCTACATTAAGCAAAATCTTAACTGAAATAACAAATACTGGTGCCTGCACAAACTGTAGTGTTTCATTTATTCTCTCTTGAATCACCGATAAATGGTTATTTGATAAAGATAGTCATTGATTCATTAAGTGTTTTGAAACAATAAGAAGCAATCTAAGAATTTGCAATGTTATTGGTCCTAACATGGCGTCTCGGCTTCAGTCTCTTTCCAATTGCCGCAACGTAGCTTCCCTGTGTCTTTTCTATCAATATTTTCATGATAATTGTTCTGATGAGCTTTTTTCTTTGGTACCTAGACTTTATAATGTTAAGCACAGTAAATGATTGCCAGTTAGGTCTCATCATTTTACACTTAAATTTGTTATAGGTATAACGTAAGTTTTATGTTAACTGTTTCTTTTCTCTCATTTGGGAAACTCACTTTAGGATTGTTGCTTCCCATTCAACTTTGATTTTATAAAATTTAAATGCAATGTCAATCATTATCTTCTAACTCCTTAATACATGTTCTTTTATTGTTCTCCCTCCTTAATAATGTTTATTTTTTCCCTCGTATTCTCTCACACTCAGTAACCCATTGCGTCTTAGTGGCTTTATTGCCTCGTTTCGGGTGAAAGTATTAAAAAATATATTCTTTGTATATTTTTCGTAGCTAACATTAGATAAACTGTTGCCTTTACAAATGTAGCATGATAAAACATAAAACATTTTTACATTTATATTTAACAAGGATAGAAGTTTTGGTTAAATAGTTAAGATTCACACAAAATCGATAATCTATATAATATTTTATAGGAAACATTTTTTAAATAAAGAGGTTCCTTAAGAACATTTCACTTGGATTAAGTCAAGCTCATCATAGTGGCGCGGTATTCATTCTCGATTTCTAATAAAAGAAAACAGTTGACAGTTCTAATGCACAGAGTAATATATGGAAGAACGTAATAAATTGATTAATTTTAATTAAATAGGTAAGAAACCACAGAAGAAACAACGTGGGTAACGCTATAACCAAAACGGTTAACAACAACAATGTTTATAGATATTTAATGAGAGACATGAACGCTTTTAGAAAGAGGAACACATTGCTAATATGTGCGTTCATTTATCTCTTTCTAAAAGACATGATATTTGTCATTAATTAATACAGTTAGGCTCACATTCTTTTAATAGAAAAGTTACGTCTTATATTTATCAGGTTTGAACTGATATCCTGTCTGATTTTTAGAGGTGGAAATGTTGAATACAACTTATTAATATATTGCCTCTTTATGTTTTTTTAATAATGCGACTATGAAGAATTTATATCATTTTCTTTCAGTTTATAAGATTATTATTCTTAATATAGATTGGAATATGCTCCTGTATTCGTCCCAAATAAAGAAAACATTAGAAATGCCGTACAGTGTGTATTTCATAAGGGCATCAACGCAAATGCAGCAATAAAATCCATTTAGCGCGCTTATGGAGTCGATGTATAGAGTAAAATAATTTGCAGGGGGTGCTTTTCACGTTTCAAAACAGGGAATTTTAGTCTAGAGGACGAGATATCGGAGTGTTGTTCAAAAGGACTCTGTTCAGAGAATTACAGTAAATTCTGTCACTAAGTTGAGCGAACTTAGTGAGAAATTTACTGTTGGTCATACGCCAGTCTTACGCAAATTGAAAAATCAGGAATGGGTTTAATGGTTGGAAAATAGATCCTGCACAATCTGTTTCCAGAGAATCTTCAACAAGGTATCGATTATTGCGGGCTATTGCTTATACGACAACTTCGAATATCCTTTTTGAAAAGGTTTGTTACTGGTGAAAAGAAATGAATCCTTTTTCTATAATGTTAAGTGCCGTCGTCGATGGTTCAGTCTATGAAACAGACTCTCTCAGCAACCCAGAGGAGAATTTCATCCAAAGAAGTTTGCATTGAGTGTATGGTGAGACATTTAAGGAATCATCCCTTATGATAATAATCAAATAATCAACGACGATATCTACTGCCAAATACTTCGTAGTTTGAAAGCAGCTTTGGACAGAAAACTTTCATCTTTTGTTAACAGAAAAGAAATAATGGCCCGTCAAGATAAGGCCGTCCTCAGATTAAACGATTGATTAAGACCTCTTAGAATAGGGTTCGACAACCTTTTGGAGAGACCTAGCCAGAAATCTGCAGTTTCTCGAAGGAGGGTCATGGTATCAAATGTACTATAATAAATTGTCTCGACGTCAGACTGCTTCATCCAAAAGCCTTCCTTGGTCTGGTAGTTTAAAGAAAAAACAACGAATATTATATTATTTAAACAAGGTTCCTTATTTTGCTGCAGGAATAATCAGAACATCTCCACAACGATGACAGGAACAAAATATCATCCAGGTGTTTATTACCCAACATTGCTCTAAAATGACTTTTATTATATTCTATTTTCAAAAAAGGTTATTCACAAGCATATATACTTCCAAATAATTAATATCAGCATTTTCGCATTATTCAGTAGGTTTTTATATTTTCCACTTTTGGCAAAACATATTTCTTGTAGAAGTTAGCATTGGATTCGGTATAATATAATGATTTCAAAAATTCGTCGTATTTTAAGTCGATTAACTCCACTTGCTCTGAAAATTAATTAGATAATAGTGTCCAGGTGTTAAATGTCGGTCCGGACAAAAATCCTTCGCGGTGGTTGCCTCACCTTTCTTAGAAGAATTAAGTTTGAAAATATTGCTTCATCTTCCATATTCTCCCGACCATTTTCCTGTTGATTATTGCTTGTTTAGTTGTTTGCAGAACCACTTGGATGGCCTAGGGTTAATATCAAGAGAAGAGGTTGACCATGTGTTGCTACATCTAAACCTTAAATAATTTTACAAACGTGGCATCTATAAATTTATTTATAAATGAAATAAGTTTCTTGGAAGCAATGGAGATTATACTGAAAATCGCACCTGACGTGAAGTGGAACTCGTATATACAAACTGTTGTCATATTTACGCTGGAGCTGTCCAAACCTCACTCCCCAGCTTTGATAGAGTCTAAAAGCATCTCCGAGTCCTTGTGGGTAACGATTTTATTCTACACCTTCCAACCGCTTTCTCATAAGTGGAATGTGGTAAGCCTCTCGCTGCTCTATCGGTACTTCCATGGAAAGTACTCGGACGAACTACATTCCCTGAACCCGCCAATTCAGACCTTCAGGGCAATGACACACCATGCAACTTACATATTAACAAACCACACATATTTCCTCCGTATTCCATCGGTGATAATTAAGTTCCAACCTAACACCTTCTTCCCGCGAAACACTGCTCTGTGCAACTGATTCCCAAGAGGATGTTTCTCCGATCACAACAACCTTAATCTATTCAAGGCTAGTGTTTACCGTTATCTTCCACTACAAATTGCCTTCTAACGTAAACCTCTACTTCGAGTGGTCATCGAGCCTTTTAAAACGTGAAACTTACTGCAAAAAAGGCATCTTAATTTGTAATATACACTATAAAATCGGAAAGAAGTAGCGTTCTAACGTTCTATAATATATAAATATATAATTTCTATAATATTTATAACGTTCTATATATAACGTTTTATAATATATAAATATCTTTGACAAGACAATATTTTTTTCTTTTCGTGCATAGAAGGGGTCCGCTAGAAAAAAAATAAGACATCATAACTCCTGGATTTATTATTTTTATCCTTTTTCTTTATCACATTGTATGTTTGTAATCAAGCGGCTGCTTCAAGTTCACTATTCTCTGACACGATCACCTGACAAATGTAAAAATTTTTCAAATGATTTTCTCGACCTTAAGGTCTCGCATTTGTTTTTCTGGTAATTTGAAGTTCCCGCCAACGAACCATTCTATTGGCAGGTATTTAATTAATATGTTCACTGATTGCAGTTTCTCTTTCATTCCGACTGTGTTTCTAATGTCCATGTCAACTAATAACCTCAAATAATTCCGTATAGTGTGTAGCCTTCTAATTATAAATATACTTGGAGTTAAGTCATTTATTAGA